TACAGGCTTTTTTTATTTTGCATCAAAAGGTTTCAGTATGTTATAGGTCTTAAACACATGAATTAAATTTGCTCAAGAATAAGCATGAGGGAAGAAGTTTTCTAACCAGAACATGGAGACTACAGAACAACTTCCACTTAGTGGTACTGGATGGTAAATAGCACAGAGCTGGATACATAGAAGATTATATATTTGCATGTGGCACTATGAGATTGAATGTGGTGGTAACGGAAATCCAGCCTAGTGTTTGTAACTCGGTTTTTGGGGACAGTGGGAACTACTCATTCCTAAGCTAGGCATGGGACTTTCAGGCACCGGCATCAAACATGATTGCCCACCAGTTTCTCTTGGAGCCAGTAAGGACAAAGCGGAGTCCCTGCAGCATCACTCCCCCGACTTGGCACCTGTCCCAGGAGGAGGAGAGTAGCTCTGCGGAGGTGCCCGTTGTTTTCTGTTGAGAATAAAGGAGCCTGAGGTGGCTCTCTGGAAGTGAAGACATCCAGCCATTTTGATGTCTACAGTTAGGTGAGATGAAACCCACCCATAGCGTCTATGCCGTTAAATTACACATAGCGATAATCTCCTCTCCTAAGCAACATGCCTGCCCCAGACCTTAAAGAAGCAGGCAAAAAAAATGCTGTCTTGCCTCTAGCAATAGCTCCTCTGGGCCTCTGCGTGTCTGGAGATCTCAGCTCTTCTTCCTCTATGACAGGAATGCAATCAAAGCTATTATTTGGTCACTCCACTTAGCTGAAAAATAGGTGAAAATGAGCACAGTCTCAAGTGGAGTCAAATGAGCATAGTCTCAAGTCTGAGTTCGTTACATGACACCCCTATTCAGTTTGGCATCGCGATTCACTGAGATCCTGAAAAGAACTGAAGGCAGTTCTCAACTGTACACATAAGGAAACCTGGGGAGGGGGCGGCATGTGAACCTTGTAAATTAATTTGCCTTCAGGTGTCTCAGTTATTTAACAGTTGGCACACATCGCACATCAGCCTGCAGGAAAATTTGGAAACAGCCAGCCAGAGGAGTTTCAGCCTGAAGGGACTCATCTGGTTGGGGCAGCCCGATGGTGACCTGAGGGTTCCATCGATGCCTGGCGAGTCAGGGAGTGTGGCTCACGTCCAGTTCTACGCGCAGTTGGCCGCCCGCACTTCTGCTGTGCTTTGGAAGGCCCAGGGGTGTTCTGAGGATTTTTCGGAAATAACCTTAGGAGCAGGAAGAAGACATTTCAAGTCATTAAAAAGCAGACTGCAGTGCTTCAGTGAGGGAAGACACGTGCAGCTTTTCAGTGATCATCTTTCAATTTATGTCCTCAAGCCTTCGTCTGTTCCTCTATTCAACACTCATAAATCAGAACTTTGAATGCTTTTAAAAAAAAACCCTCAGAAATTCTGCAAGAGAGCTGGATGTTTTTACTTTCCAGAACTGTGTTCAGGAGTATCAACCATTTCAGGAACTATCAAATGAAAAACATTGCTACTAATTGAAAAATATTTGACTTTCAGAAGCATAGGATTACTTCAGAAACCATTATTTACAGTAAGTAATACTTATTTGTGTTAGCAACGCTACTGGTTTCACATCACTGCTCTTTGTAAGTGAGAATTGTAAAATATGGCCTTTAGTAAAAAATAGAGAAAATATATCCTGTGTGGTTTCATTCCTCTCCCACCCAACCCAGTTGATGGGAAAAAAGACATATTTAATTCGTACAATTACAGATATTCCAGAAACTACAGGAAAGCCGTTTTCTCGCTTAGCTTTGGTCTGCTAGCCAGGCAGTCGGGTTAATAACAGAAGGTAAGCTAGCTGCTGTTTTATAACACCCACAGCTCTGGTGGAGGAGGTGGGGAAGGCAAGTCCTTGCCTCCAGGCTCACTTCCAGTGCCAAGTCTCCTCCCGCATCTGTCTGTGAGGCGGTCCTGGGATCCCAGCAGATCCCCAGCGTCACTTGCCAAAAAAGCAGACAGATCGTCAGTAACAAGACCGTACGCCGTGCCAAAGCCAGCACTGGTGCAGGGCCCTCCCCTCCATTGCAGGGGGAAGCTGGGAGGCAATTTCTTACTGGTTGCAGTTTGTTTCCCAGCTCTCTGGCTACCAGCTCAGAGCGCTGCCCCAGACATGAGTCTGAACCAGTGGACCCACCAGCAGGAAGCCCAAACGTGCTACCAACAAAGTGTTCCTCTGAAAACCATCTACATTAGCAACAAGAAGTCATGGAAGCAAAAAGTAAAGAGGCAAACAAAAACCCTCCGCTGGTGTGAGCAACCTCGTCGCGTGTGTGATGACACACCGGTGGGTGGCTTGGCTGTCATTGATTAGCAGGTCTCAGTACTGGGTTCAGATTTAGCTAGGAAACAAGCAGCAGTACAGTGTAAATCCTTCAGGTTGCTGTGTGTGCCTCTGGTATGGAGAGTAGCTCTGAACGTCCCCTGACCCATCAGCCTCTCCTCTGCAGGACAGCAGCACAACCCAGGACCTAGCCAGCAGGTACCTGCCATCCACCAGCGTCTCCTTCTCCCGTGCGCGTGCCCAAGGGAACACGAGATCTCCCAGAGTCTCTGAGCTCCTTCAAAGCCAGTGAGCCGCTCTCAGCAGTGATGTGAAGAGCAGCTTGGTTTATATTCCCCAGTCCTTATGGGAGTTATACAAGTTTAATCCAGGCTAAAAGAGGTGAGATTCTTAAGAAATGGAGTGAGCAATTTAAAATCCAAATTTACCAACTCTCATAACAAATTATTAAAATGGAAATTTCTTTAAAATTGCACCTTCATAATTTGCGCACTTTTTCTAGTAACCCTTTCTCAAGCGTTACAAACAGTCATTGCTATTCTTGAATATATTGCTACAGTGCTCCAATGTCCAGGACAGCTGACAGCATTCACTTCTGTAACGTTAAGCCTTGATGGGATAATTCGCTTCATAACGCAGGCAGGTGCTCGTGCTCTGGAAGTGCAATGGCAGCAGGCCCATGCCTACGCCCCACCTGCATTTCCCAGGCGGAAGGGAGGAGAACAGTCTGGCAGGTGACGTGCAGCCCCGTTTCCAGGGACTGGTAGGTAGGACCTGTTCCATCTGCACTTCTGAGCTGGTCCCATTCATGCCTCATGTCTGACTTCTTCCTCATTCAGTACGCCACTGTACTGATGCTAGAACGTTCCAGCATGAGCAAATACGTTGCTGTAAGCGCGATCCAAAGGAAACTCCTATAATCCAAATGGTTTCTGCCCACCTGCAAAGCAACAATACGAGCAGACGGCATCTCTCACGGGATCGTGGCTTTCCCATAAGGGTAGCGACTCACAGGCTGTGATAGCAAAAGGGCAGGTTATGTCCTCCAAAAGAGCAGCAGGGTAGAGAAATTCTGCTGAGAAAGTCTTCTCTTGAACCGACAGGGAACTGCGTAATCTCCTGAGCGCTCTGATGCTACACCCCAGACCCACGACTCCTGTGGTTCGCGGTTCGCAGTTCTCCAGCTGCGCTTAATCCAGAGCACGCAATAGCCTCTCTAGTTGCCATTCACAGGTAAGTCACCGGCCACCAGCTTAATACAGTTGGTACTTGCTCTCAAATAGGAACCCCCCCCCCAAAATGTCCCTGCAGAGTATGATCAGGATTTAACAGGCCGTCTGTCCTGTGCCTCCCTGGGGCTTATGGGGCTGTGAAGAAGTCCCACAGTGTTTCTTAACCACTGATGGAGAGAAGCATCCCAGACATTTCTGACTCCTTAGCAAAGGGGTTCTCTCAGTTGGCCCCGTTTATGTGTCCCCCCTACAGCCAAGAGCACACCTACCAGGGCAGAAGCTTCTGGTTTCGTTCTTAACACATCCCAGGTATTTCCGTTGTCTTTTTTCAGGTCTGCAGGTGAGGGGTTCCGTAACTCTTACGAATCCGGCATGTGGTGCACATTTACTCTGTTGAAGGCCTAACGCCTTCCTGAGGGATTCACTTTCAAACGTGTTTTGACATTTCCTTCCGCCTTTGCAGAATTGTCAGCTACGGTAGAAATAACACTGGAGTTGAAAATTCAGAGTCTCTTTTTCAGACTGAAAATTTCCAGTGCCTGGGTTTTGTTTAAACCCTTACCTACCAGATGTCTGTCCTTCCCCGAGCCAGCTGCTACTTGAGAAGCGTGAGCGATGGCTGCAGTGATGGTGGTCGTTCTGCATAACGGCTGTGATGGAACTGACTTGCCGCCATCTCAGGCAGTCCTCTCGTCTGACCTCCTGCAGGTGCCGGGATGCATTTGAACCCGAGGAGAATCTGAGCTGCACCAAAGGCGATGAAACCCAGTAAAGATCACCCTGCCCAGACATGAAAACAGGGGCCAAGCCACTGCTCCTTGGTGGCAAGATGGTAACATCCGATGCCACTGCTTAATGTTGACGTCTTCCCAGGCAATTCAAAAAACCCAAAGCAAATTTTAGTTGCTGTTGAAGTTTCCCCTACATCGGAAAAACCTGAATCATTCAGCTATTTTGATGTTCTCCCAAAGAAAGAAAGATTATGAGACACCCCCCCCCCAACCTAAAAAGCCTTGAGACTTTCCACTTTCTTTCATGCAAACAAAGGGTCAAACTGAGATTGCACTGGCAGCGTTCGTTCTGGCATTTCGTAAGTTTTAAGAACTGGACTTGGTAACCCAAGCGGCCTCTCAGCATACATTTTGCATATAATGTGATATGCTATGTATAATATAGCCGGAGGAGTATACAGATGTCAAGCTAGGAAAATGATTTCCCTGCTCTTTGGCAGGCTGCACAGGCAGAGGGATTAGATTATGTTCTATTTCTTCCTGGTTTGCAATATATTTAGACAGTTGAATGGCTTTTCGTTTTGTGCTTGTCCTGCAATTCATTTCTCAGACCCTTCCTTTCAGTCTTGTGAGGCTTTTTTCAAAATCTCGTGCATTGTGCTTTGTCCTCCCTTGTCCTTCCATTCCTGGGGCAGGAGGACATTCCTCGTGCCTCTGACAATCGGTGTGTCTGCCAAGGGCTGCTGGCTGCAGAGGGCGGTTTGTCAGCCTGGTACCCGAGCTCTGCTTGCCAACAGAGAGTGCGAAAGCTTTCCTTGCACCCCCAGCACGACCAGCTCGGAAGGCGTCGCAGCAGAACCGCGACAGGCGCAGAGGAGCGCGGGGCTGCGTACATCGGCCTAACAGAACTTCATGCCAGAGCGAGAGCCGGACATCTGCAGCGACCCTTGGCTTTGTTGTCTTGAGGTGTGGAGGGGCTGCGGTGACTGATGGCTCACTCAGCAAGAGGCCCTGGAACGGTGAACGCAGCAACCGTTCACTTCATTTGCCAGAAAATGACAAAAGTCTGAAAAAAACCCTTGCCTCCAGAGGCTCTGAGTCATTCCTTCGTTACCAATGGATGTCATTCTTCCCAGCGGCACGAAGCCGCCGCGCGAAGCCACTGCTGTCCTGCGCGAGCGAGCAGGGGCGAGCTGAGCCGCCTCCGCAGCACACGCTTCAGCTCGCAGTGCGTTTACATCTGGGAGCAGGGACCGGAAGCGACAAATGCGGGGTTTCTGTTGCCGGGCACGCTGGGCTGGGAGGCCGGGATGCCGTGCTCTGGCTCACTGCACGTGGAAATCAGCGATCGTCTGTCCGAGGAAAACGCAAGTGTTGTCAGCGATCCCACCACGGCAGAACGCTCTGGAGCAGCACCTCTCAGCCTCACCGGTCCCGCCGTCCATCAGTCAATGACGCACCCTGCTTCACTTCTCACGAGAGGAAGAGGAGCTGTTAGCCTGGCGGCTGTCCGGTCAGGGTTCGGTCTCAGGCAGAAACTGCTGATTCGGCACGGGGCTCAGGCAGGAGCTTGGCCATGCGGGGCGGATGCTTCATGCTTGTGTAAGAGGCTTCCAGAGCTGAGTGTCACAGAATCACAGAATAGTAGGGGTTGGCAGGGCCCTCTGTGGGTCACCCAGCCCAACCCCCTTTTGTGCCCGTTGCCCCTTGTCCTGTCGCTGGGCACCACTGAAAAGAGCTTGGCCCCATCCTCCTGACCCCCACCCTGCAGATATTTAGAGGCATTTCTAAGGTCCCCTCTCAGCCTTCTCTTCTCCAGGCTGCACAAGCCCAGCTCCCTCAGCCTCTCCTCATAGCAGAGATGCTCCAGTCCCCTCCTCACCCTCGTACACCCCTGCTGGACTCTCTCCAGTAGCTCCTCCTCTTTCTTGAACTGGGGAGCCCAGCACTGGACACAGTGCTTCAGATGGGTGAGTGTTGTCATTGCGTTGCTGGCTCTGCCGTCCACATCCGTCCCCTCGTTCTCCCATAGCTTTATGCACACCTTAGGGGAATGGGCAGAGAATTGAAGCTACTCCCACGAGTGATATTTTATCTTCTGCACTGTATACAGATATTTATAAACTTTCCTGTGGTCTTTGGATCCTGGAACTCTCATTTTACACCACCTTGGTGACACTGCTGACATTAACCTTGGAAGAAGGATCTGGCCAGCAGCAACTCTGGGACTCTTGGGTACAGGAAAAGAGCAACTGGCCAATGGGTCTGACACATTCAAAATTGCAGTCTGGCCTGGAGCACACAAATGCCTACTCGACCTGCTATATCTCTAAACATTTCTTTAAAAATAAATAAATAAGCAAAAGGAACGGCATCCTGTCAACCTATCTAGTGATTTAAATTATGCAGATTGTAGATTAGTAAAGCTTTTAATCTGAGCTAAAGCACACACAGCGCTCTGCAAGAGTGAAAAGAAACAGCTGAAGGTGCTGTGAAGGACTTGGTGACTCCAAGCCGTGATACGTGCTCATACTCTTCAGTTTCTTTCTCCTCAGGTGTGTTTTAAATGAGTTAGAACTAAGTCTCAGGAGACTCTCTTCTCGGTACAAACACTTGTTTCAAATTTCAGCTGCCTGCAGACTTCACAAGAGGCAGGTTTGCATCTTTTGTTAATATCCATTTCTACCAACATCAAAAAAGGACACTGACAGAACAAAACAACACAGAGTATTTTTCTTTCTATTTCTATGGGCTGTCTAAGCTACTCAACTATTAGAAAGCAATTAACTGTCAAACCTTGACATTGGTTTGATTTGATTGAGTTTGCGGTGAAGGCTCAACTCCTCAGGGTTAGTTCTGAGAGAATTACCGATTTCTGCTGTGAGAAATGCCTAAACCTGAGTGAAGGTGACGCAGCTGAGGTGGCTGCCGGCCCGGCCTCGCGCGTCCAGGCAGCTTCACGGCCGCAGCGCCGGGGAGGCTGCCGGCGCGAAAGCTGAGGCTCAGGCCTCATGGACTGAACAGACGTGATGGGTAAACACTCGATAACCTCCAGCATGCTGATTCCCACAGATACTCTGCTCTCTGAAACAGATGTTTCTTTATATTTTATACATTAATGGAATGCAATATGTATAATCTAGCACATAGACTTGGGAATACCCAATATGCAAAAACTCTGGCTGGTGGAAGAAGTTAATTAAGTATTGTTGCTACTAGGATACCAGATTGTGCCTGCTTGAGCAAACAGATGCATTGCTTTAATTTATTATGATTAGTAATCTTGGTCTACTCCAAACTTTACCAAGCTGGGTTTTGAAGCCCATAGTTCATGTACAGGTGGATCACACAGCCAGTTTCACACTCACACTCTGCACAACGTGAAGATTTAAAGCAGTTGTTATGGTCAGGAGGCACTGCAAGCAAAAAAATTACCAATACAACACTTCAGTGAGGAAAACTCATGAATATAATATTTACTCATTTACATATGTGGAAACAGAGGTGTGTTTTCTCACCATATGAAAGGAACAGGGGTTAAAGTGAGCAGCCCGTGCTGGTCTGATGCTTACCTTGGCAGTGAGTGCAGCAGGAAGACGCCGTGCCATCTGATAAAGCCATTTGCTGTGTGCTCACAGGCACGCTCTACTCACGTAAACAGCTCCGGTGAGATCGTGCAGGGAAATAAGATTCACTTCAGAATAAATGTATGCTTGCAGAAGGAAGTCCTCTACACTTTGGATGTTGGGTAGACTGCAAGCAGTAGAAATGAGGAGTTGGGCAGTTCTTTTGCATTTCCTCGTTCACCTTTCCAGGCAAGCATTTGATCTTTTCATCTCACAGACAGCAGACGACGCAACAGTGTGCGATGGGTACACTGGTGTACACGCAGCAAGAGGGATCTGGGGTGAAATCCACGTTTCATCCTGCAGCACCCAGCCTTGCTGTCTCCAGCAGCCAAGGCTCCGTGACCTGCAGGAAGGTGTCCCGTGTGTCTCCCTGCTACGCTCCCAAGGTTCCCTTTCGATGCTGCTGGCCCAGTGGAGGGCCTGGCACATCACCAGCACCTCGGGTGAGCACCCAGACCGAGGAGCTAGGCAGCACTCCGTGCTCCCCCAGGTTACACGTCAGCACAAGCAACTTGCACACCTACTGCGTGATGAGTACTTTGCAGAACCAGGACCCGTGTCATACAAACAGGGGGAAACAAGGTCAGCCTTCCACTGTATAGAAAGAAAGAGAAGGAGAATGCAACCACCCACGTTACACAAGCTCACTCTGGGCCAAGTAGAGCTAATGGGGGAAGGTAGAGGCCTCCTAACACCCCTTCTCACGCTCCTCCTTCCTCTTTCCTGCCTCCCCAGATTAAATCCACAGCTGAGGAAACGACAAGTTTTTCTTTACAGGAGGTACTTTGGTGTTGTGTGCTCATGAAACGTTATGGGAACATTTGTGGTTTTTGTCTTCCAGAAAATTATATTGATGTGCCTCAAGATGGGAGAGGTAAGATCAGACTTGAAGGAGCAGCTTTCAAGAAAAACAACTGAATGACAAGAGCTGAAAAAATGATGGATAAGCAGAACAGAGAAAGACTACAAGAGGGAGACTGACCAAGTCACCAGAAGAGAAACGCCATTCAGACAACTTCTATAGGCAAACAATATAGAAAGAATTTGCAGAAGAAGGTAGTCCGTAAGCAATATTTTAGTTCTAGACTGACAATATTATCTCTGAAAGGAAGCATCATATTTGAGGAAATGGTCGGTAGGAAGAAAATTAAGTTGCTCTGGCAAATCCACACAAAGGTGGAAAAAGATCATAAGACAAACGTTTGGTAGATAACTTTTCTTTGCCTCCCCATCCATCTATTGCCATTTGAGCCTAATCTAAGTGTCAGAACACTGAATGTGAGTTTTTCCAAAGTTCTCTGGTGAATATTTTGTCACAATAGGGTAGATGCTGGCAACCCCCATCACTGTTACCCATGTTGTCATGTGCGTTACGAGGTAAATGGGGCCCTTTCACCATATCAGACTGCCAGGTAGCAACCGTTTCAACCTTAATACACATTCTAAGATCATTGGCAATGATTCTGCTAAGACATCAAACATCGGAGCAGATCTTGGCTTCAGCTTCACACACCCTGCTGAAGAGCGGAGCTTTGTTCAGAAGCAACACAGACACCCCATTCCACCCCCCTACTCCTCGAAGCTGAAAGAGCAACAGAAGAAAATCAAGAAACTATGTATTTAAAAAGCAATAATACCATTGTCCCTTTGCTTAACAAGGCAATAATCCAGTTCCCTCAGCCACTGACTGGCTTCAGAGTTCACCCCTCACAATCTAAGAATTAATTTGTGAGCCAGAAGGGCAGTGATGCTACCACAGAAGGATGTTGAGGACTTGGTCACTAGGTTGCAATAGCTTGAGTTAGCTTTCCACAGGACAGGTTGATTTTAAAATCATACAGTATCAATTACACAAGCAAATCCTGTGAAATTAAATCATTTCAGATACATACATGGAAAACCTGGCAATGACAACAGAGGAGTTAATCTAGAAATCATAATGCAAAGCCGTGCTAAAGCCAAATTAATCCTTCATGCCTAATATTTTGTCGTGCAATCTGAATACCTTTAAAATAACCATCTATTTTACTGTATAGTCAACACGAGGAACACCTTGTCCATGAGCAGTCAGGTTTTCTGTTTGTACCTCTTTGATGTGAGTGCACTTTAGGCTTCTGTTGCAAACAAAAGGGGTAGGGGTAGACTGCTGAGTGATCTGAGCTAATTCACAGCTACCGGCGTGCAGGATGGCTAACGCCACGCAGGAACAGAGTGCTGGGGGAGCCAGCAAGGCTGGAGACACAGGAGTGCCCAGCCTTCAAAGAAGGCCCCGTCTGAGCAGGATGCCAATACGCTCACGCCCCTTTTCTTCACAAACCAACCAGTAAAAACCCCGACTAAGGGCAGGCAGCTCAGAAAGAGCTGACATGCGGCCGGCGGGCGTGCTGCCCTGCGTTGGGCATCAGACTCCATCCTGTCCTCGGGAAGCCGCAGGCCCGGGCTGTTCCCACTCCTCGCAGCAGCTCCTGTGTCCACCCCTCTGCGTGCAGCTCGGCTCGTGGAGCTGGAACAGAGCTGCGACTGGGGCCTTTTGCATTGGGAGGAACGCAGCACTTCAAACAGAACAGAGTGTTTTTTAGACTTGGAGTCACACTAAACCTAAGAGAATCCAGCTTTCTAAAAAAAGCCTCTCATCAGACCATTGCAGAGCCATTCGAGGCACTGCAGGTGGGAACGAAGAGGACCTCCAGCAAAGGCAGGCTGTGAGTAGCTGGCGGATGCTGGCAGACAGCCCAGACTGCTTTCCCCCAGGTGCCGAGAGCTTCGGCAGGGAGAGGTCAGTGCTGCTGGCGGTAGGAGAGCTAACCCAGGGAGACGTAAGGTGATGCCATTAGTGCCAACTTGCAGGAAAAGCTAAGGAAACCACGTA